GCTGGAAGTATAATTATACAGCTGTGGAACCATTAAAACTGTTTGACACTAGTTTCTTCTGTCTGAATTCAGAATCCATGTCACATTTAATTATGTTTACAAAGACAATTCAATGTAAGATAGGTGATACCTGATGTATATATATAATTCCATAATGAGGATTTTGTTTAAAATCTTAATAGAGTTATGCTTGCAGTTTTTAATAATATTATGGTTGCCTATTTTGTTTTACCTGAAACAAATTCATGTGATATTACTTTAATGAATGACAATTATGCTTTTAACATTAGACCCTTGATGAATCCAAGTAACTAGAAAATAGTAGGATTATGTCCATGTAAAGTTGTGTTCTTGGAATGTGGACAGATAATTACAAGGCATAATGTTGCTGAGGAGGTAAACATATTTATATATTAGGAATGAAATTACAAATGTTTGGAATGATTTCTTTAGGCCCTTTAACACTAACATAGTTCATTCTGCCCATCTGTAATATAGTCAGTCATTCTAATCCAGAATGTGAAATATTCAAAAGGAATTGTGATGGAAGGTGAGCAGATACTGTAGCTTACAAAGAAGGGCAGGAGTGGAGAAACAGCACTGCTGCTGTAAAGCTGAACTTTGTTTTTCAAGTGTCATTTGAACAGGTAAAGGGCATGAGGAATAGAATGATTGAAGATGGCTATCTTGTTGGTTGTTGCGCTATGTAGTCTGGTAGAAGTTTACTGGCATTTCTGAGGTCCTTGCTGCCTCCTCTGAAATGTAGGTAAACCTTTACCAGACTGCATGGCGCAATAACCCAGAAGACAGCCATCCTCAAACTCACTGATATGATAACCTCAAATCCTGCAATAGAATGAATGCTCATATTAAAATAATCTACATTTTCAATTGATATTTAAGTGAGAACTGAGAATTTATCGAGCCTTTATGAAAGTTACTTCTATGTCAAAACCAAGTGAGTAATTTCATTCTAACTACAGTTGATTTTATTTTTTGATTCTGAAAGAAATGTCCACTTTATTAGTATAGACTTGACTAAAGAGTACAGTTGCAGAAGTAGGTCACCTGTGATTCATCTAATTTTAAAACAAATTAACTATATTCTAGAATTATCACATGCCTTACCATGTTTGAGTCTTTAAATACTTTAACCTCTCAAACACTGCATTCAATATATATATATATATATATACACACACACACACATACAAACAAACATGTAGACAGATTTTTCCTCAAGTAATGGAATTATTCTGTATAAGTTCTTTAATTTGTAGGTTTAATTAAATTTTGCAAATAAATATCAGCATCTGCAATGTGGAAAGTTGATTTTCATTCATACATAAGCACTTATGTAGGGAGCCATTATTTGTCCTTGAATAAGTTATATATTGAATAACTTATGAATAACATAATGGTATTTCCAAGTTTAAATATAACCAACTGTTATATATAATATATTTACAGCACAAATTCAGTTTAATTTTGAAGTGGTCTCTAAAATTAAGGTTAAATGTTAGAGGAATTCAAAATATTCTCTATATAGTCAGAAAATAAAACACAAATTTGGTTTGCATGATGTAATGTGCAGCAGTAATTAACAAAGGAAACAACATTTTACAATATGGAGATGAATGATGCTTGAAATGTGTTGATTTGTTAAAAGTAATTTTATATTCTTCAGTATTCAAACCAAGGAAGAGAAATATATGGATTAATAGGAAATAAAGTATCAAAGAGTTATTTGATACAGTACTATAATAAATTACCATTGTTATTAATTATTTAAAATTAAGTAGCTTCTACAACAATGATAAAATCAACAACCCCCCCTAACCCTTCTTAGTTCTTAAACAAACTGCTAATAATAACAAGAAGATACCTGATTTGTATTAATCATTATTAAATTTCAGGCTTTGCTTTTTAATTGATAAGATGTAATAAATACACAGCTTACATATTAATGGAATATTAGTTGTCTTTAAGTGGAATTTATTTTAAGAAAAAGAGTGACATTATAATTAAATTGCTAGAACTAACCAATCTCTACAAATAATGACACACTTGGGTTTTTGTATTTATTTTTTGAACACTAGCGTGTGTTGTTTTTTATAGTTTACCTAATGCAATAGTTACATATGTTAATATTTCACTTTGCTTCTATATAGGCATGATTTAATTATTTTTCTTCTTACTCAAAGCGTATTCATTACAGACCCCTAATGCTTTAATATTAGAATTTTAAAATGCTTAATGACATGTCCATTTTGTATACATCTATGTTAGTGTAACTACAACTGCAGCGCTGCTTTGCTTGCTGTAATATTGGTTTCTGTTACCTATATCTAGCATGTGCCTACACATTACATTTGTGTGTGTTTTTCTTTAAAAGATTAGTAATCTGAAAAGTGCTGGCTATTGCATTTAACACTGTATGGAGTCATGGACTGATGGACTCATTTGTCCGCAATGTTTAAATTTTCAGTCTGAAATGCATAAATTTTTTACCACAGTCCTTCCTTTTTCTTTCCTCACCCTCACACACAGCTATGTGTTGTATGACTCTTCTTACCCCAAATTCTGAACAAGATATGAACAACTTTACAGTACAAAGATGGCTGTCTTCTGGGTTGTAGCTACATGGTGCTACAATCCAGATGATAGCTATCTTCATACTGACCACCATGAGAATCTCAAATCCCTCTTAATTTTACAGCAAATAAAATTACTGTCTTAGTAAACACATTCATAAGAACAAAAATGCATAAGAGGTTATTTGTAACTCTTCCACAAGTGGATCAGCGTGTTTCCAGATTTACATTCCATATGATTCAGCATTAATTTCATAATGCATTTTGTTCACAAATCTGAACTTGTATTTTGATTGTAGCATGCCATTAAATTATCTTATATGTTTCATATCAGACAGTTTTATTAATGTACTCTTCCTTTACATGCACATACATGCAGGGTCCCATTAAATTACTGTGCAAAATCTACACCAATCCACATCACTGTTTATAAGAAATATTGAAAATTCTGGGTCAAATTTAAACCACATTCATATTTTGGATGACAAATGCTATAGGATCTCTCTGTGTTACATCATGCTTGAAGCTCATATAATAAAAATAATTTAAACTCAGTTATATGTGGTAAATGGTTCATTTTACTATTACATAGTGACAGCTTTATTTAAGTTTGTCATAAATAAAAATGGCTTTAGGCATTATTTTAAAATTACTGAAATGAACATTCCATTTACAGTGGAATGTGTACACTTCAAAATAATGTGTTTACTTTCCTGCAATACTAAACAACTGTATTATCCACTGCTTGTTTATTGTGTTAAAATTGAGTTTATTTGACCTTTTTGGGGCTCCTTATGTGCCCCCCATTCTTCGTGAACTTTCATGCAAATTAATGTCATGTTAATATAGCAACTATTGTAAACAGTAGGCCTATGTGAATAATAATCTGACAACATGCATGTTGTTTGTAAATATCTGCCTCTGCAGTTTAACAAATATACAAATAACTGAATTGTAATATCACTTCTGTAATTATTCCATGAATGAATCCTTGGCGCATCAGCAGTTCTGATTCAATTTGTTACATCTTTTTATGGATTTTATGTATTTTATGTATCTTTGTAGTATGTCATGACATTTATAGAATTATGTTTTGTATCTTATAGGTTTAAGAACTTGTCTTTCCATATTAATTTTAATATTTAAAGTTTAAATAACAGCAACATCTGGCAGAACATCACAATAATATTTTTTAAGTAACTGTAAATGAAGTTTTTTCGTAAACTCTGTGCCATATTGGCAAATGTTGGTAAGTGACCAGTTTGTGTTATAATTGTACTTGACCCTAGCAAAATTGTCATAAATAGGAGGTTGGATGGGCCCCTAGCTTTTATAGACATAGTAGAGAAGAGAAAAATCCTGTTGCTTCTGTCAAGAATTGAACCCTATTATGCAATCGTACAGTTAACTAACAGCTGCTGTGGCCTGTTATACATAATCATATGCATGCATTTGCATTTTATTATAATTAATATTTAAGAAATTAGTGTATAATTAGAAACTTTTATTGTGTATGTATTTAATTTAATTGCATGTTAACTGAATCAATTATCAGTGTTATAGGAAAGGCTATTACCACTTCAGAGGTTATGTGAGAAGTCCCTGACATTTCAGTTAATACCATATTTTACATATGAAACTCTCAACCGTTATCTAGATATAATAATGCAATTTAATTCTTTAAAATTTAAAGTTGCAAACCTACTGGGACACAGAGAGACCCCATCACAGGACAACATGGTCCACATCACACACAGAAGCCATCATAATCATCATCCACTAAACAACCGACTAAACTTCAATGTTTAGTCCTACATATTTTATTTTTTATTTTCATTATTATATTATTATAATGTGATGATAACCTATAGCACACCTTATTTATTAGGCTTATTATATATGTATGATGTTTTAGTGAGCTATGGTTCTGCTAATTAAAAATAAAGTAACAGAATCAGTTTTCTGCCTTTCTTTATTGAGTGCTATGACAAGAGAAATGCCACTGGAATTATATCATATGCATAACAGCTACTGTATTTTTTGTTTATTGTTACTGTTTCATACTCTTCCTATTTTAATGATCATTTTTGAAGTTTTTTTATTAATTTATTTTAACATTTTTTCTGTCTTAAATTTTCTGGGAGCAGGGTAAAGACTAATCCCATCTTTAGATCATTAACTTAAATTAACCTATTCTGGTTCCCTTTATTAATTCCCTTAAAATTTATTTCTGTTGAAGTACTTAAGAGTACAAGTTGTTCATTAATTCAGTAATTGAGAGTTACTGTTGTTATAAAATGTCAGCGACTTTCCTGAGTAGTGAGGTGGTGGCAAGATATGAAACTACTAGTAGGATGTGATGACTTGCTGAAATTGACTGCTGCCTTTCACCTGTGTTGCAGAGATTACCCTTGCAGGAACAGTACTGTACTTGAACATCATGAGTGCCTGATCGCTGGATGCACGATCGTGGTGAAACGTCACTTATATAACCACAACCTCGAACAACTCGGACCTTGCCATTTACTGTAACGTAAACATGCAGGTATAAGAGATCTGTGAAAGTCGTTGCTCTTTATATACCATATATAAGTAAAATGTTATTTAGTATCTTAGTTACTTGACATGCAGTATTTAACTAAAATATAGGGTCGTTTTAATTATAAAGTTAATAAAATTATAGTCTTGGTTATGGATCCAGCATCTTTAATTGTAAAATATGAATGGATTGGAATTTTACCAGTATTATTTAGTCTTATTTGAGGTTAAGCTGGATGAATCAGTCATTAGAAGAAGAGTGACAGTATCATAGTAATCCTAACTTGTTTTAATGATGGCAACAATTTGTTTGAAGGGTTATGTTTAACCCTTTGAAGCATGAAGTGCATTTCAATTATGTTTAAAAATTAAGTTGCTACTGAAACACACCACGTGGACAAAATAATGAGGTTAGTGTTCAGCATATGGATGTCATGTTTATGGCAGGTGGAAGTATATTACATTTCTTAGTTTTCTACAAGAGACTTTTCTAGCATGTGCTATTATTCTGTTACTTCTCCTTTGATGCTATATATATTCTTTTGCTGTCTGTTTAGTTTCACCAGAAGATAATTCCATATGACTTGATTTAATAGACATAAACAAACTAGTTTTATTGAATCTGTTTTAAAGAGTGGTGTGATTGTCATGGCAAAGCATGCTGAAATTAGTTTGTTTTGTTAAAATTTAATGTGAGCTTTCTGGCTTTGAACCACTTGTTCAAGCTAGCTAAATCTATTCCCGAAACAGGAGCCAAAATCAGTAAACAAGCAGAAAAGACATTGCATAGCAGGCAGTAATGTATTTATGGCATATTAGAAGGTTACAGATTTAAAATGGAATTAACGGACGCTACATTTTATTACATTTCTACACCAAATTAAATGTATGTTTTTTTCTTTAATCATAGAACTGCCGTCTAGGAACAAACAGGCGATCGATAGACAATGGATGCGATATAATAATCGTTCGATCACATTCCGAAGTTAACTCGAATTATTACGGAGATCGATTTTGCCTCTTCACTCTGCAGCGATTTTATGTAATCGAAACTACACTAATTCGTAATTGAATCTTTCGAGATAGATGTGATGTCTGTCTTCATTGCTACTTTACGGCATTGAATTAAAGTATCATTTCGTTTCATGTCGAGATGGGCGAAAGTGTTATATCAGTTTAATATCCACTACAGAGGACCTATCCACTATCATCCGTCACAGTATGATGCGGAATAAAACTGGTAAGTGCTAAAGTTGAGCGAAATCAGTAGCCTTGAATAATGTAGTATTGGCTTTAAAAATGTGAGGATTAAAGAAATTGGTTTGCCAGTTCGGAGACGACTGCTTTACTACGAGCGTCACACTGAGTGAGTTTACTTTGAGGTTCTCCCTTCAGTGAAGCTGATGGTTGGTGGGGCGATGGAACTGTGTCTCGGTAACAGGGAACCTATCGATTATGGCTGCATGCCAAGCACTACCAACGTCGTCCTGAAAGAATATACTTACCACGCAGGCAAGAGAGAAGCAGGCATGGCCAATTGCACTTGTCGGCAAACTTCAAGGCCTTCATAACCATCTTTGTCAATCAGTCTTTTATTGAAGATACCAATCCGCTGACCCTGCAATGTACGTTGCCCAAGTCCTACGTTTGTCCTTTAATTCAGTCATTGGCGAAACTAGATCGTCGTGGGCTCTGATACAAAATATTCGTGTAGGCCCCTATCATATAGTGTAACATTTATTATCATGACTTACCATTAATGTAATTAATGTTTATGTTAGTAAACTTATTAAAGTGCAATGTCTATATAGACATACACAGGTACATGCTTCCATCTATTAGAATTAAACTTTTCTTTTTTTCATTTCTGCAAATGTTTTTATTTTTTTCTACGTTTATTTTTCATTTTTATTTTGCTTGTCATCGTTCTCGCCTTATTACGCTTCTGACACAGTCTAATTTTGATAATGAGAAGGACTCAGCCGTCACATTTGCAACCAAGATCCTACAAACAACTGTTATGTATAACCTGAAAATTTACTGTCGTAAATATGGCCGTGTCTTATAATCCGAATGTAGGCAACGATGCTGGAGTAGCCCATAAAAGTGCCAGTAGCCATTACACACTCGAAGAGAAATAGACAAGACAGGAACGACAAACTACTTATGTCATTTTATCATTTTAAGTATTTTTATCATTGTTCCCGTGACGTCACAGTCCTCATACACTGCACTGCTGTCATTTAGGACGGAGACGGTGAGTCGGGGGAGGGGGAGGGGGGGTTACGTCACCTAGAAGAACGACATCTTCAAAAACATTTCTTGCGACTGAAGTCTTAGTTCAGAACAATCTGACAGCATACCTTTCTGGATTATTTTGCGGCACAAGGTGGGTACTAATTCTGTTAGGTGTTCCAACGGAGGTTTCATACTGCAGTTGACCTGTCCCAGTGAATAATTGTCAAATGGGTCCCCACACCTCGGATCGTACGCTGAATTACACTGGTAGCATTCTATTGAAAAACCTGAAAAAAGAACATAAGAATAGACAATGGAAAATTCAATTATAAATATATTGAACAGTGACGAGCCCTTGTAAACACGGTAATTAACCTTCGGGTTCTATAAACGCCACAGAATTTCTTGAACATACTCAAGAAAGACCCTGTTAGTTAGTTGGTTGTTTAGTGGGCTTTGTGTGATATTCACCAATATAAAATATTTCTTCACTTGATTCTGTTTAGGTGAGGGTTTTGTAGTTAGATTAACAACCTTTCGTATATTTTAGTTTTAAGCGTAGCGTAATTAAGTGTAGTATTTAACGCACTAGAAATTAAGTATTTTGATCATGAGAATATATTTTCTTACGTCCTGCATTAAAATTAACCATGGTGATTCCTGAAACTAGAAACTTTATAAAATCCGCAAGATGTCGGACTCTGGGATAAATAAACTACTTGGGTATTTCGTTTTCAGAGAACAGCGGATCTGTAGTTTTACTAGAAAAAAAAAACAAGTAGCCTAATTATTTTGTATTTAAGTATATTTTTATATTTTGAAAAATATCCGAATTTGAAGTCAAATTATATTAGCTTAGTTTAGCTTGAATTTGAATTAACGTTATATTTCTAGTGGAGTGGAGCAAGCATGAGTAAAACACGAAATTTGGAAGAAAAGTAACAGCAGATGACGTAACATGATTGCTTAGGCTGATTTACATGGTCATTTCATCTGTATTTGATTCTGTTTGGATACATATTCATCGCATATTGCACGGGGAGGTTATAAAAGCTTCCATGCTTACAGTTACAAGCTTTGTGACGTCATCATTGTGAAGTCGATACAGACCAGTGACGTACTGGGGGAGGAAAGAATCTGCCAGGTATGATAAGAGAGAATTAGCTTTTGAGTAGCTTTATTATTCATAAGGAGGAAAGAACTTGGCAGAGGTTATCTTATTGGCTATTCCTCATCAAAGGAGTCTACCAAATGTCTATAAGGATTCACAGTTTCAGAAATTAATCCTGAATTATAAGAGGCCTACTCCGTAAAGCAAGCTGGTTTAGCACGTGATAGTCAGGTAATACGAAATATTAGCTATAATGAAACATTCTTATATATATTTAGTAATTTTTGAACTTCTACTCCTTTTCTCCTGGCAACGGCGAATTTTCAATAAACGAATCACTTTCGTAAAACGAGAAGTTAATTTACGGATTGTGAATTACACACAGATCGCAGCAGGGATATAATCTAGCGTAATAGCATTAACTGTGTTTTCGCCTGTTCCCCTGCCTATTATCGTACTCAATTAACTTCTCTCAACGAGTACTTTACTAGTTTTCCTGATTTATCGCAGGACTGGAGAATGATGAATTTTCTATACACCTTAGGTAATGTTGTGTTGCAAGCTATTACGTATTATTAAGCTCATTAATCAGACTGCTCTCTCTCTCTCTCTCTATCTCTCCAGAGCAACCTTAACTTCGTTGGTTCTGAGACTGTGTTTCAAGAACATCCATTGGTTCGGCAAGAGTAATTAATCGATTCCACGTAAGGTTTTAGAAGACCCTGGTACAGGTATATCAAGCTCGCGGCCCGACTCAGTTCTTAATTTACGCGATGTATAGCCTTTAACGTTTTACGTGACTGCTCTACCATCTGCGTTCATATAGCAACTACGATATTATCCCATGCACACCTTGGTCCTACAAGATCTCTTTTTTCCTTGAGGTTTTCCAATCAAATTTTTGTTTATATCTATCATTTCTCTCGTATGCGTTGTTACATGTCCTTTCCATTCGACTTGATTTAATTGTGCTAAAAATTTTAGGCAAACAACAGACATTACGGTGCTCCTAATTATATAATGGCCTTCAGTCCATTGCTATTTTATTTTAAAAAGGTACGTCTTAGTACTTTGTTCTTAAACTCCTCATCTGTCAGAAGAAATGTGAGAAGAAATTTTAATGTCATGTACAGAGTTTTAAATACTTTTTTATTTTTGTTTCTAGGTTATTCAGGATCTTCAAATTCTTAAGCAAGATTTAAAGCCGGCGACAGTACAACAAAATTTTGGACTGCATCATCTGGTAAGTGAAATTTTCTTTACCTTGTATTTATATAAAGAATAACATTAAAATAAGTAGGATTTTAGGTTTTCACGGAGGTGAATCCGAAGAAGGCAGTCATCTGGGTTGTAGCGCTGTGTAGTCTGGTGGAAGTTTATCAACGTTTCAGAGATCCTTGCTGCTGCCATCAACAGGGCGATCGCCCAAAAGACAGCCATCTTGGAATAATTTTTCAACTTTTCTTTTTTAAGTGCCCGTGGAAAAGGTCTTACTTCTTCTGAGTTATTTTCGTAGACCACTGTACTTTACGCCACAAAAGTTCTGGAATAAGGTTTCAGAAAATGTTCATTCTACAGTTATATTTTACACACCAGAAGGACTGCACAGTAATAGAGTGGAATAACGCCTGCAAAGTCTTGTTTATGCTACATGTCTCACATAAGTGTCGGAGAAGTTGCCGTACTGGCACGGCGAAAACTGTTTGCAGTATACAATGCCCCACCGTGATTTGGATCCCACGTTATATTGTAGGCCCTCTTCTGCCGAAAGTCTTCATCCTGTCATAGCGGTGGTAAGGGATATTTTAGCCAGTGGATGCCTGTCTAAAATTTCGATTTCTGACTTCTTTCTTGTCAGCTGAGCAGAGGCCATGATGAGCAATGCGATCCATGACTGTTTCGACTTCTGTTTATGGGGACTGATAGAAAGTATGGAAAGTGCACGATTTTTGCCGAGGTTAAAATCGTTAATTCTTTAACAAGTGTAGTGTTATTTATATATGAACTCCTCATAGATAAAGTGGAATAAGCCAAAATCTTTTAATGTGTATAAAATGATGTTTCTCGTTAATAACAGGTTAGAAATGTAACACTCCTTTTACACGTTCGTCAACGTTACCTTTGATAACCTCATATGTAGTTTTAATAAGATTTGCGGATGTTTATTCCCCGTCATTTTTCTGTTTACAATAAACGAAGCCAACTGAGCTTTACAAGAATTTATCTGACATCAAATTAATTTCCATGTTCGGTACAATACCACCACTACAGGCGCAGTTGGGGTGCGAACCCAGGATCAATAATGTTCACGTCTGTCATCTGCTCCGCTATCCATTTTAATCGGTGTTCCAAAAATTAGTATCTTTGGGCGAGATCTAGGGTTCTCACGGCGAAGAGCATGAATATGACTGTCTTTTAAGATGTTGCTTCGTATAGTTTGGTAGAAGTCTACCGACGTTTCAGAGAAGCTTACTGCCTCCATTGTTAGGGTATCATAGCCTTGTTGAAGGAGACCTCTGAGACTTCGGTAAACTTCACCAGACAAAATGGCGCATCGGCCCAGATAACTCATTTTCCGATTTTTGCAAGACTGAGGCACAGATGGTCAACAAGTGGCCTAAGTTGTTGACCGCTGGGTGATGGCGATGAAGACAAAAGTTGAAAGCTTCTGAACAATCGCATTCTCTTTTCCGTAATGAAGGTTTGCATTTGTGTAGCTCTTCCTTGGTGATATTCCCTGATCTAGGACATGGTGATACAATGTAAGCAACATCAATTCTCGTGTCAGAAGCACTTGCTTCTTCACAGAGATCGTATCCGACACCTGTCAATCACGATGATCCAGTATCTCTTTATAGGCCCTGTACTGATTTTAGCGTATACTTACTCCAACGTTCCCGCTAAACCTCTTCTACTGCACCAGCATTAAACCTGGACCGACCCCACTGCTCATGAACTTTGACATTTTGTGTGGTGGGCTATATGTGTGGAAGAAGGGAATACAGACAGTACATACACCAGGCTGCTGCATTAATCGATATCTCGTCGCCCGCCGCCGTACTTGGTGTGACGTCACGGAATTGGGGGTTGTCCTTCACCCCCGACTCTCATTCTTCACATGGTTTTCTGCTGAAGAGTGACCCAGTTGTCAAAGTCTGCCTGTACCTGGCAGGCTTGTTAGGTGCTGCTCCTGTCTTCCGTTCCATTGCTAAATTACTGATTGGAATTACGCAATGCATTTCTTCACCAGGTTGCAGGACTACCGGATGAAAATATACGAAACGGACCGGAGACAGACCACCGTTAAAAGTGTACAGCTTAGCCTATATAGCATCGTATGCTCTATTTTTATTTCATACAACGATGCTTTCTCAGTTGCGTGCGCTATATATCGTTGCGTGGAAGGCAGTGAATCTCTTGGGTTGGAGCAAAATGACACCCTTAGTGTAAGATACTGAAATGATTTCGTCGAAAAATAACCATTAGTTAGATCGTCTTTTTCGGAATCAAGTAATGGCCGAGACAACGCGTGAAATTAGCATTAGAGTCTGCCTGTTTCTTGAAATACAATTATTGTTAAAATTCAATACCTCTGGTACAGGGAGTGAAGATACATTCTAATTTTGTAGGGAACGTTCTCTTCGTCATCAAATGTTACAAATATGGCGACAGTGTTGAAATTCGAGGGTATACCTGACAGCTTTCAGATAGGCTTACTCTAGGAAAATGTACCTTAAAGATAGATCATTGACTAAGTAACTTCACGACGCAGAGTTACTGAGAAACTGACAGTTGTTCAGGTAGCAAACCAATATCTGCCTTCTGTGAAACCAGAAGATTCATTATCGTGTTCACAAAAGCTCGCCATTAGATCCTATCCTGAGGGAGATGAATATAGTCCACGCATTCTTATTATATTTAATATTCATTTTAATATTATCATCGGTTGCAATCCTAGGTTTTTCGACTAACTTTTTTATCCATTTCTAGTCATTCCCATATATATTTTTACGACCCGTACATCTTACGTTATAGTTTCCGCTGCCTTTTAAATTGCGTTCAAAACATTTAAAACGTGACATTTTGACAGCTTTAGCTCGCCAATATGAAAACTGGGAATGTGTAATTGTTAAATGATTGATGGAGTTTGCCTGTAAGGAAGTTGTGTGATAACTTCTCGTTATTTACGTTAAAATACCTGAAATAATTTTATAAGGATATATATTTTTTTTTCTTTCTTTCTTTCTAGTGGATGAATATAAATTAGGCGTTTTAAGTTTTCCGACATGTGTTATTAAAACGTGTGCCCTGCATTTTGTATTCGACTCTTGTGATTGAGAATTTGTCTTGGGCAACTCTCTGCTATTATTAGAATGTCGAGTTTATCGTTTATACCGAGGCGAGGGGGCACACTTCCGCGTTTGAAGTTTAAATATAGCCACGCCTACCTTGATCTTTCATCACCCGTTTTCAGTTAAAATTAATGACATCGCTTGACATCAGTCTGCAATTTCATAAAGTCAGGAAAAATAGCAACTCAGCGAGCCATGGCGTCATCTGCCACTACTTACATGACTTTGAGAGTAAAGAAAGTTATTTAAATGGTATAAATTTAGGTGTACTCATTATTTTATTCAGTTTTTCCCCCTTTACTCTGATTCGCTAAATGTGAGACTGAATTTAAATTTGTGATGAAATACTGAGGCTTACCTTTTTAGAAAACACCTTTCTAGGTGGAGACTTAGCAACTAAGAAGTTAGTGAGCAAACGCTTGTAACTAAACTCATTAGTAAATGCTCCTTTAGCCAATAATTGGTATAATTGGAATACAGGATCGGCAAAATGTAATAGGTGTATGTAAGATTTAAACACAATTAGGTTTATCCCCCTCCCCACATGCAGAATCTATGATGAGAATTATTTTATATTATAACGTTACACGATAATATAATAATGTATTTTTGTTCTTACTGTCATTCCATGTTTCTCTGTAAGCTTCCCCCCTTCCTTATTTGCATTTCCTCTCTGAAAGCGATGAGTGGACGAAACGGGTTCTCTCACTGAAATTCTTAGAAATGTTCTCTCCTTTTAAAATCTCGAAGTTAGTATTTTTTTACGACTACAGTAAATTTCTTGCACTGTATAGGAAGGTTTCTAAGTCGCTTTACCGAGGTGCATTAAACATGGAGGAAACACCATTTTGAACATCTCTTGTAAACCGTGATAAATACTGACAGTTGTATTTGATTATTTATGATCTTTCCTTGACGTGGTGAGTACAGTCTTGGTAATGGGGAGGTGTAGGACTGAAGGTTCGCCTAGGACACCAAATTCCCTTACACCGAACCTGTTTTCATAACACGTCTCGAAAATATGTACCGCTGATTAGAGTACACCATTTGAACTGTTATTGATGTTCTGACTGAAAGTTCCTTTAAATCAAGAAAGGCACAAATAAAACAGTAGTATACTTGGAAAAACTGCTGCATCATTTAGAGACCAATGAGACATGGAACCCAACCTATGCCAACGAAGAATAAGGTACCAATAAAAGGAGCCTAGCAGTAATGGAATGTATTACTAGTACCACAGAGTCGGGGCGATGTTGGGATGCGGAGTAGACACCTCAGACATTGTTTCCGCATTCTGTTTTCATTTAGACGTGCCAGAGGACTCTGATTTTATGGTCACGGTTATTTTCTAAGAACCAGTTATACGAGGGTATCAAGGAATCGAAGATGTCCAAAGTGGTCTTGTGGGTGGTTACCAACGTTTCGGAGGAACGTATCTCCTTTATCTTCAGCTTTGAAGTTTATTATCGTGTAATTAGCATCCTGACATATTTTAACATTATTTTGTAATCCAAACCTAGGTTTTTCCAGTATCTTCTTCGCTTCAGATATTTCTAATCAATATTTCGCATAATTTTTATTGTCTCGTGAAATACGTCCTTTGCGTTGAGCCCAATTAGCTCAGTCGGTAAAGTATGAGATTCTTAATCTCAGGTTCGTGGGTTCGAGCCTCACGCCAGGCGGTTTCTATCATAGCGAGTTTCATTTTGTTAGACGTGAGCAGTGGAAGGATATGTAAGTCATATTATGAGGATGGCGAAGTGATCACACATGATTGGTTACGTCCATCTAAACGTCGTTCTGCTAATTGTCTAGTTACGTTCTTTGTAATTTGATATTTGCAATTTCTACGTTCTCATTTGTTTTTCACGCCCTGGCGCGAACGAAGAACACGTTGCGGGCCTGTCCATGCCCAGTTGCGTTTTCCTAGGAACTAATT